CTGTGCCCTGGTGTCCAGGCTCAGGAGCCACCTTAAGCCACAGCTTCAGGCCACCTTTGACAGACCTGAAACCCAAGTTAGCTCTGTTCTTGGAGTCTCAAGCCATGTGGAGGTATCTGGTACTCCCTTGGTGAGTGGAATCATTTAGGGGCCCAGGTCTACAGGCTGGAGTGCTGGTGTACTTGGGCTGGGGTACTGGGTTTTCTGAGGGGCAGGGATTTGAAAGCAGGCCCGGCAGCCTTCTGGGAGTCTGGCCTCTGAGGCAGCCCCCGATGGAGCTCACCTGCGGCCTCCCCTCCTTCCCTGGGCCAGTCGTCATCTCCCAGCTGATCCCGAGTGTTGGGTGGTCTTGGGTGCAAAGTGCCACCTCTCCAGCCTTAGTGCCTCCTCCAACCACTGTTTAGGTCCTGGAGGAAAGACAAGCCCACTTGGTTCTAGGGGACTCTGTGGCATCCACCCCCAGCTCTTCCTGACGACATCCCATGGGCCAGCTGTATGACCCTGGGTGAGCCCAGACACCCCTTTGAGTCTCTACAGCCTTGTCTGTGAAATGGAGCTAATAGTGTCCGTCTCACCGTTGCATTGTTACAAATAAGTGGGAAAATGTATGGCCAGGGTCAAGAGTAATTCCCGGCACACAGCTGTGTCAGAGCTGTAAGCTTCTCTCCAAGGAGAAGAAAGGATGCAGCTCTTTCTGAGGGGAAAGTGCTTTGCATGGGAAGCAGGTGACTTTGAAGCTGAGGGGCATGGAGTGTGGGGCTGCAGCTTCTGGGTGGGGACGGGGGCAGATGGGAGCCTGCCACCAAGGCTGAAGTCGCGTGTAGTGCCTCACTGCTCTAATCCCACCCTGCCCACCCACCAGCAGGCCTGGGCCATGTGCTCTGAGCCTCACTGCTCTGATCACCACCCCCGCCCCCCACCAGGTCTGGGCCATGTGCTCTGAGCCTCACTGCTCTGATCACCACCCCCGCCCCCCACCAGGTCTGGGCCATGTGCTCTGAGCCTCACTGCTCTGATCACCACCCCCGCCCCCCACCAGGTCTGGGCCATGTGCTCTGAGCCTCACTGCTCTGATCACCACCCCCGCCCCCCACCAGGTCTGGGCCATGTGCTCTGAGCCTCACTGCTCTGATCACCACCTCCGCCCCCACCAGGTCTGGGCCATGTGCTCTGAGAAACAGCAAAATGGTTGGGAAAGGCTGGCAGCCAGCAGATGTACCAGCTATGGGGCCAGTTCCGCTTGTGGCCTTGGTTGGGCAAGGTCTCTCCTCCCCGCAGTCATTTTCTCTGACTTGGGAACATGGGAGTGCAGAGAGAAAGGGGTTGGAAGCACTGAACGAGGCCCATAACCTCTCCAAGGCTTCATTTCCCCAGCTGTCAATGGCGGTGAGGAGCACGCTTCCCTTTGGGGGCTGTGGTGCTGAGGATGCTGATGACACGGGTTCCTGGCACACGGTAAGCCTCCCAAATGTGAGCTAGAATAATGATTACTTCTGTCACAATCACAAGTGTCACTTTTACAAGAGGAAGGCCAGCACTGGTGGGGATGTGGGATTTGGCCCGCTCTGAGTCTCTGTTCGAACGTGCATAGACGGGCACAGCCATTCTGCAGAGACGCAAGGTGAGTACCCCCTGTACCCACCCTGCGTGCAGGGGTCCTTTCCTGGAAGTATTCTAATGGTGAGGGGCATGTACCAGGATGCCCCTCTTGGAGGTGCTGCTGGGGGTGGGAGTCGGGGGTGAGAGGTGGCGGATGTGCCCCTTGGAAACTGAGCAGCAGCCAGGACCAAACAGACACAGCAACCCGAGGGACGTGAGAAATAGCCAGCTGAGCGGAGAAGTGCAGGGAAGAGCATGGAGCTACTACCCAGCGCTGCTTCTGCACGACGGAGCTACTACCCAGCACATCAGACACGTGGGCAGGGCCACCCCTTGTAGGGAAGGAGGGGGAAGGGGCTCCAAGCAGTGAGCCGGGGGCTGCTCCTGCACCAGTAATGCCAGTGAGCTGTGAGCTGAGGCATTGGGTTAACGACACCTTCTGCAACTGAGGTGAAAAAAAGAAAAAAATAAAAGGATGGAAGGAAGAAAGGCAGGCAGGCAGGTGGGCAGTGTGCCATCTACGATATTGCCTTAGGGCTGGGAAGGGATTTAGGTCCAGGTCTGAGGTGGTGGCAGCAGCGGTGAAGGTGTCCCAGAGAACCCCAGTGGCGTCCTGCAAGACATATGGATAACACAGCTGGAGAATGCATCACCCTGGCTTTTTACAAGGACAACGGTTTTCTTTCATGTCCCCTCTCTAGAGACAGGGGCTTTCATTGGGACTGGTGTTCCCATTCTACAGAAGCAGCCACTGAGGCCTGGGGTGCTGGGGTCATCTGAGGTCACACATCAATAAGGGAGTGGGGGTGCCAGTCAGCACTCCAGCCCAGCGTCAGCCTCAGGAATGACAGGGCTTCCCCATGGCTCCATAGCTGGCAAGCGCTGGAAGGAAACCCCAGCCAGCCCTGCCGCCTCTAAATCCTGCCCTCAACCCCTCAGAGTGGTAGAGCATTCATCTGCATCTAAGCAACTAGCACCGCCAACAAAGCCCCGACAACACGCATGTTTTTCTCCGCAGCTCACTGTATGGGAACAATGGGTATTTACAGCCGTCCTGAAACGCTGCTCGAGCCTCCAAGGCCTTTGGCATCATCAAAGCACGATTAGACAGCGTAGAGAACGGTTTTAGCTTCCAGAGCATCTATCGTATTAGCGTTCTTGGAAAACGGCAAATCCCCATTACTTAAAGCAGCCACATTACCGAGCCCAGTGCCTGGCCCCCCAAATCTGGATAATCCCTATGGATTCTTTTGAACCCCATGGATCCTCCTGCCTCGAACTCCTCCAGCCCTGTTTTTGGCTCCTGTTGCTTTCGGGAAACGTCCAAAGTCTTTGTCGTGAAGTTTAAGCCCAGGTCTCCAGGCAGCCACCTTGTGTCTCCAGCCCAAAGGTAGCAGGTCTGCTGTTCTTAGAGCAGGGCAGAGGCAGGCCCTGGCAGCCCCACTACCCTGCGCAGGCCTTTGCCCTGAATGTCGCTCCTCTCTGGGGTGCCGTCCTGCTCACTCACTTTTGTGGGTCAACTCGGACACCTCCCCGTGGGCAGAGTTCACCCATGCAACCAGGGGCCGAGTCATACCTGCTGCACCTCTGCTGTGGACAGGAAGACTTCTGACCCCTCCCCAGCTGGAGAACTGCTCTAGGACTGAGTCCAGGCCTTGTTCACCTGCCCCACCCCATCTCCACACCTGCCTTGGCACAGGCAGCTGTGGAACAATCCTCTGATGACCTTTTCTGGACACAAGATAACTTCCTGTTACCCAGGAGGATGGGGAGGTTTCTTTTCTATTGAGCTGGCTTCAGGGACTCCTGGACACAGCTGTGCAGAGAAGCTAGGATGACACTGGCATGTGATAGGATGCCAGGGGTCCGTCCCTTGAGCAGGAACACCCAAGGCAGAGCCTGAGGTTGAGCTTGAGGGCAGCTTTATTTGGGAAGTGGCCGGGGGCATAGTGGACATCACAGGAGAAACAGAGGAGGGAGGGGAGCCCTCACTGTGGGCACTGGCTGCTTGGCCCACAGAGTTCTCTGGGAGGCTGTGGCCATATCTTAGGATCCTCCACCCCGATGTGAGAGGGAGCAGGCGTCCCCACCTCTGTTCTGTTGTGCTGGGAAGAAACTTTGGTTGACACGTGTAATGCAAAGTGGGTTTCTATGGAGAAGACCCTCGGTGGAGGGGCAGGAGGCGAGACAAGGGGGCTCCTGATGGCCTGTCAGGTGTCCCCAACCGCAGGTGAGTGGAGGCTCATGTGCAGCTCATGACTGCAGTTGTGGCTGGAATAAAAGGTGTCCCTAGAGGGTCTCCAGTGCTGTCCAAGGTGTTGCCCTGTGCTGTGGGTCCCAGCTGCTTTACGTATTCTAAAAACTGTAACAGAACACTTGGGAAATACAGAAGAGCCTAGAAAAGGAAATGAAAGTGACCTGCAGTTCCACTCACTAGGAAGAACCCAGTGAGGACTTTGTTGCATTTCTTTCCATCTATTTTCTCTGCATATGCAGACTGTGCACATAGTCATATGTGTGTCTGCCTGTAGCTGAGACTATGCAGATTTTACAAGATTATCATAGATTTTCTGCAGCATTTCCCATTTCTGGTCTTCTCTTTCTCTGCTTGGGGCTGATGGCTGCCCCTGTAATCCCCTGGACACCTCTCGGCCATGCATCAACACTGGTCTCACTCTGAGACCGTCCCTGCTGACCAGCCCTACAGAGATGTCAACGGCTCTGTTGTGAGCAAGGCTCTCCCACTGTGGATTGACACATCTGCGTCTTTACCCGACTGGACTCCAAGCTGAGGGGTCTAGGCGGCAGTCTACCTGCGCTGCTCTAACAAGTAAGAAAATGTATCAAAACTGTCAAGAATAATTTTTGGCACGGAGTGGTGACAGAGTGGTTAGTATCTGCCACTGAAAGAGGAGAGGGATGTAATTACTTGCATGGGGCAAAGTGGGTCTTGCTCATTGGTCTGCCTCAGTGTCCACCATGGGCCTCGGCATACAACGAACGGGCACTCGATAAATGTCTATTGACTACGCAGAGCCACAGCATATGTCATGGACTGTCGCAAATGACAGACACACAACTCAGATGAGTTTAGGCAAAAACAATGAGGGATTCCATATACGGCTCTGGCCTCAGGTACTGCTGAGTCCAGGAGCTCAGGGTATTACTATTACAGGGACTCTGTCTTTTTCCATCTTCCGGGTCTCTGTGCCTCTCTGTCTTGGCTTTCTGCACCTTGGGCTTTCCCTGTCCTGTGTCGGGGCTGGGACTGGCCCCTTCTCCACACTGAATGTGGTGGTTTCCTATAGGAAAGGGGGCTCAGGGAGGGAGGGAAGGAGGAGGGAAGGAAGAAGGCGGGCGGGCATGCAGGCGGGCAGGCATACAGGCAGGCAGGCAGGCAGTGCTGGGTAAAATGAAAGCCAGTTCCATTAAAATGTCCGGCTTACGACACAGCTTCGGGGAATGGACCGCACTAGACGCCCCCGGAAGTGTTTGCAATGGCGACTGCCCGCCTGGAATCCAGGCCAATCAGCAGCCACCTACCGTGCTGGCAGGCGATTGGCTGTGGAGAGTCACGTGGCCCAACCGCGGCCAATGAGACGGAGGGCGCCCTGAGACCTTTTCCCCTCCCTGAGACCTTTTCCCCGCCCTGAGACCTTTTCCCCGCCCCGAGGGTGCGGAGTGTGAGGCCTCTTCCTTCGCGCAGGGCGCATGGTCTGCAGGCCTCGGCGGAGAGGCTGCTGCCATCTCGCGCCCAGCGGGTGGACGGCGCCAGCTCGGAGGAGTCCGGGAGCAGGACGCGGGGCCAAGGCCCACATCCCAAGGTGCCCACAGCTGCCAGGAAAGCCGTTGGAATCCGAGGCAGCCGGCGCTCGAGGCAGGAACCACCCTAATGGATAACAGCTGTCACGTTTTCTGCGGCTCGGAACGGAACGGAACGGAGACGTCTGTTTCACAATTTACCAGCGGAGTTCATGAGCTTTGACAGCTCGATCGTATTTCCGGAAGTTATAAAAATGTTTCTCCTCGGGGAACGCGGGTGCCTGCCCGCGCCACCCCTGCTCGCTCCTCGGCGCCGCCCTCCAGCCTTGGGGAAGAAAGGGTTTGCTGCACAGACGGCGTCCCCAAGATGTGCAAATCATATTTATGTGAAAGGAATCCCGTTTCCTTATCGACCCGCGTAGGAATGCACAGACGCTCGGATCGGCACACCTGGCTGAGCCGCGGCCCAGTCCAGCCACTGCAGGGCTCCCCGAGCTTCCAGCTAAGGGGTCACCGAGGCTGGGGGACCTGCCACGGCCGTCCTTGGGCCCAGCCCGGACTGAGGGGTCGCGGAGATGTGTGCTGCAGCCCATTGGACTTTGGATTGGGTAGCGAGGAGGGACGGAGGCATGGACTGTGGTTTTTGGATGGATGGGTGGAATGATGGGTGAAGCTTCCTGAGCCAAGTTATCAGATTCCGGGAGAAGTGGTCAGAACTGGCGCTGGTTCTAAGGGTATCACAGCATTTTTGCCTCGACTTCAAGGAAGGAGCGTCCCCCACCCCACCCCATCCCGAGCTCTGGACACTCTCGGTCGTCTCAGGTGAGGATTCAGTTTGCTAACTCAGGGCCCAGCACCCTCACCCAGCTGCCCCAGGCTCTGTTCCAAAAAGCTGGGGAGGAAGGAGAGAAGAGGTAGGCGCGGGACCTGAGCGTGGAAGGCTGTGGCTTTGAGTAAAAGGGGCTGGGTGTGTGTGTGGTGTGTGCGGGTGTGCCAGCTTGTGTGCGGGCATGCAGGTGTGTGCACGTGTGTGGGAGAGGTGTGTGTGTGCCTGACTCTGCACACCTGGCCCGTGTGTCGTCTGTGCTTGCTCGTCTGCATGTAGCCTGTGTGTGTGTCCGCGTGTGATGCTGGGACCACACCTGAGCATGGGGGCCGTGTGCTCAGAAATGCGGGGGCTGTGGTGTCCTTGCAGAGTCTGCTCTGCGTGAAAGGGAAACTCTTCAAGGTTCTGAACTCCACATCTTAGATCCACTTACATGTAAGTAATCAGAATTCTTTGTCTGCTACAGGCTCCAGGAGCTGTTTCTGAATTTTCAAAAACAAGAAGCCACAGGTAGGCAGCTGAAAGTCACCCCAGCCTCAGAGGAGGGCTGTTTGGAGGATGGGGGTGGGTCTGCTGACTAGCCCAGGTTTGGGATGGGAGTGGTGGCTCCTAGTTCCCAAAGCCTTAGCCCTCAGCTGCAGGTTCTCCCAGCTTTGGGAGGGCTCAGGTCCTCCCTTGTTGGCAGAGGTTGTCAGTCCAGGGCCTCCCACTGATCCTCTGGATCCCCTGTCCTGGGGAACCCCTATATTCCTAGACCCTGTAAGTCTTATACTGTTTCCGTGGTTCTTGGCATTCTAGTGCTCCCTGACTCTGTTTCTGTTAGATTGCCAGGTGGTGACTGGATACATGGGCCTCAGTGAAGACACCTGTCACGTGCCACAGATAGATTCCTGCTGCAGTCAGAGTGAGCCTTTTTTTTCTTTTTGCCCAGGCTGGAGTGCAGTGGCATGATCACTGTAGCCTTGATCTTCTGGGCTTAAGCAATCCTCCTGTCTCAGCCTCCCAAGCAGCTGGGACTACAGGTGTGCATCACCACATCTGGCTAATTTTTTGATTTTTTATGGAGATGGGGTCTCACTTTGTTGCCCAGGCTGGCCTCCAACTCCTGGGCTCAAGCAATCCTCCTGCCTTGGCCTCCCAAAGTGCTGGGATTACAGATATGAGCCACTGTGCCCAGCCCAGAGTGAGCCTTTGAATGGGTTTGGCAGGACATCTTGCTGAGCAGCCGAGGCAGGCCCTCCACCATGGTGATAGCAGCCGGCCTTCCACGAGCACTTACTCTTTGCAGCCTGCTGCCTGCATTCTCTCCCACAAATGTTCAGTCACCTTAGCGGGCAGGTGCCAGGTCTGGGCTCTGAACAAGCTAGATCCGCATGACTTGCATCTTCTGTTCTGCCAAAATCCCTGTCCCCCAAACTCCCTATGGCAGGAGGCTCCATTTCTTGCCTGCCCTATTCCTTCCACATCTCTGAGACTTTTTCCCTCACTGTCTCATGGGGCAAAGCCATCCAGTGTTGGCCCGCTTGGATCCCAGGTGGAGACCACTCTGACTGAGGCCTCTCTGTGCACTACTGTCTAAGGGAGGTTTTTCCCTCACTGCCTCATGGGGCAAAGCCGTCCAGTGTTGGCCCGCCTGGATCCCAGGTGGAGACCACTCTGACAGGCCTCTCTCTGTGCACTGCTGTCTAAGGGAGGTTTTTCCTCCAGCCTGACTTGCTGGTGTCCGGCATCCTGACCTTGGGCCTGGTACGGAGCAGGGACCCAGGACACATGGGAAGAACCAGTTTGGCCTTGAGACGTTCCAGATGAAACTAGTGCCACCAGACTGCCGAGAGCCGGCCACCTTGAGGGCAGGGCTTGGAGTCCACTGTCTTGCCCGGGACCCTGTGCTCTCTGCAGCTGGCCACCTGATCAGATGCTCCCCTCCTTGCTATGTGGCACAAGGTGTAAGGAGCCCCAGAAGCCCACAGGCTGACGTGCATTGAAGGGAAGTTGAAGGGAAGTACATTCACCCAAATTATGGCTGTGGAAAGAAAGTCGTTAGGTAAAGAAAAGCCCTTTTCCCTCCAAGAGGAGAAGGAAAGTTGCAGGGATGGTTCCAGCCCAGCATTGCGGAAAACCTCTTTCCACTCGTATCAGGCTTGAAGCATGCCAGACTCTGAGTGACACAGCCCCCGGGTGACTGCTCTGCTTTCTTCCCGCCTCTGTGTGATTTAGAACATCCCACTTATTTATAATTTTTCTCTTGCAAGTGCTGCTGCTCACCTCTGCTGCCAGCTGGGGGCTGCAGGGATGGAGCAGGAGAAGGCTGGAGTGGGCATTGCATCCTGTCTCCAACCACTGATTGCTGGGTGGCCCTGTCTTAACAGTATCCAGACATCAGGCATCCCCTGTAAGATGAGGGTCTTGGGCATACTTCTCTGTAAGCCTCTTTTTACTTAGGCATCCAAAGACAATTTACAACTCTGGGAACAGTGCTGAGCTCCCTCTTCCTGATAGCCACTGGCTGCTTTTCCTTCTCAGGTGGGCTGGACAATAATTGAAAGAATGTAACATGTTTACTGCTACAAAAACAGACACACAGACCAATGGAATAGAATAGAGACTGGATTTCACACCTACAACTATCTGATCTTCAACAAACCTGGTGAAAAGCAAAGGACTCCCTATTCAATTAATGTTTCTGGGATGACTGGCTAGCCATATGCAGAAGATTGAAACTGGACCCCTTCCTTCTATCATACACAAAAATTAACTCAAGATGGATTGAAGTCCTAAATGTAAAACTCAAAACTATAAAAGTCCTGGTGGACAGCCCAGGCAGTACCATTCAGGACCCAGGGATGGGCAAAGATTTCATGATGAAGATGCCAAAAGCAATTGCAACAAAAGCAAAAATTGACACATGGGATCGAATTAAAGAGCTTCTGCACAGCAAAGGAAACTCAGCAGAGTGAACAGACAACTACAGGATGGGAGCAAATTTATGCAAACCATGCAACAAAGGTCTAATATCCAGCATCTATACTTAAACAGATTTACAAGAAACACAACCAACCAACCCCATTAAAAGTGGGCAAACGACATGAACAGACACTTTTCAAAAGACGAATGCATGCAACCAACAGTCATATGAAAAAAAGCTCAACAGCACTGATCTTTAGAGAAATGCAAACCAAAGCCACAATGAGATGCTATCTTACACCAGTCAGAGTGACCATTCTTGTTTTTTTTCTTTTGAGACACAGTCACTCTGTTGTCCAGGTTGGAGTGCAGTGGCATAATCTCAGCTCACTGCAACCTGTGCCTCCTGGGTTCCATCAGGTCTCCTGCCTCAGCCTCCCGAGTAGCTGGGACTACAGGTGCACTGCCACACCCTGCTAATTTTTGTATTTTTAGTAGAGATGGGGTTTCACTATGTTGACCAGGCTGGTCTTGATCTCCTGACCTCGTGATCCACCTGCCTAAGCCTCCCAAAGTGCTGGGATTATAGGCATGAGCCACTGTGCCTGGCAACCATTCTTAAAAAGTAAAAAAATAACAGATGCTGGTGAGGTTACAGAGAAAATGGAAGTGTTGCTGGGAGGGTAAATTAGTTTGACCGTTGTGGAAGAAAGTGAGGCAATTCCTCAAAGACCTGAAAACAAATACCATTCCATCAAGCGGTCCTGCTACTGGGTCCGTACCCTAAGAAGTAGAAATTGTTCTGTAATAAAGACACATGCACACATATGTTCATAGCAGCACTACTCACCATAGCAAAGACATGGACTCAACCTAAATGCCCATCAGTGATAGACTGGATAAAGAAAACGGGCTACTTAGACACCATGGAATACTATGCAGCCATAGAAAAAGAATGAGATCATGTTCTTTGCAGGGACATGCAAAGAACTTGGAGCTGGAGGCCATTACCCTTAGCAAGCTAACACAGGAACAGAAAACCAAATGCTGCATGTTCTCATTTATAAGTGGGAGCTAAATGCTGAGAACACATGGACACATAGAGGAGAACAACACACGCCGGGTACTCTCAGAGGGTGGAGGGTGGGAGGAGGGAGAGGATCGGGAAAAATCACTATTGGATACTAGCTTAACATCTGGGTAAAGTAATCTGTACAACAAACCTCCGTGACACAAGTTTATCTATGTAACAAACCTGCACATGTACCCCTGGACCTAAAAGTTGAAGAAAAAGACTGCAAGGTGATTAAAAGAAGACTCCTTCTGTAAACAGGTTATTTTCTAAGATGTGTCCTGGCAATTGCAAACACCTCTGACATCTGGAAGCTTCTAGAACTGGGCCATGTTGTTCAAACTGAGACTCCTGGAGAGGACCTGGGAGTCATCTGGAGTGGAGGAAGAGGGGGTGTGCATGGGTTGTGACCCCAGCAGCACAGTGGCAGTGATCGCTGCCTGTCCAGCACTATGTGCCAGGCACAGAGGATATCAGTGCCACTATTGTCCCCTGTTTTACAAATATGGACCCAGGCACAGCAGAACAAGTCTCCTTGCTCACACAGTTCATAAGTGGTAGCACAAAATTCGACCTTGGCAACCTGGCCCCAGAACCTGAGTGCAGTGGTGACTGTACCCTTTCCTTAGGAGGGAGAAAGACTTCGGCTTCCTGAAGTCTTCGACATAGCCCTGAGCTTCAGTCCCACCTCTGCAGCTCCCTGGAATGGGAGCCCTATGGACACCCTGTTGAAGGCATCCTGCCTCCCAGGGCTCCGTAGGCATTTGCTGGGGGACATCCAGGGGCCTCAGTCAGAGCCAGCTGAGGGGATTGCCCATGAGGCTCTGCTGGGGATCACAGCAGAGGGGACAGGGGCTCCAGGAACATCAGCCTCTCCAGGGATCCCAGCTGGCCTAGGAAGAGGGAAAGGGCTTTCAGCCTCAGGGCGGGGCCTGGGCAGCTCTTCTGGCTCCAGGCTGTCTATTCACCCCTTGCACAGATGTGAACACTGAATCTAGTAGGGAAGGAGCTCAGCACACTGACGGTGGCTGCAAAACTGAGAGCACGTGCTTCACCCACACCCAGCCTAGGCCTCTCCTGATCAGTCATGGTGACATCTAGAAACATCAAGACTGGCTGCCATGTATGCCCTGGGACCATTTTGCAGGCAGCAGCTCATTCAGTCCTTACACACCCAGTGAGGTGGGTAGGACCAACCCCCATTCACAGGGGAGGACAACTGAGGCCTGGTGAGACAGTAGCTGCTTGTCCCTGCCCTTTCTACTTGGAGCTTGTGCAGTTGTGTCAGGGGCTTCCCAGGCTCACAGCTCAGTGGCTCTCCACCAGGGTCAGAGGAGTGGCTTGAAGCCCTCCTTGGACATGTCTGTGGGTGATACTGAGTGCAAGGTACCCCAGGTGTCACGGCGGGGAGGTGTCTGGTCTAGGGTCAAAGGTGATTATCAAGCCAATTTCAAAGCCCTCAGGCCCTATCTGGGGGCTCCCAGGGGTTGTGGGGTTCACCTTTTATTTCCTTTTCCTTTGATTCATCCGAGGGTGGGTGCTGCAAGCTTGTAGAAGCAAGGCTCACTGGCAGTGGGTTGGTGAGGGCGGCACATATTCTGAAAAGGAAGTGCCAGCCCTCAGGACTTCAGGTGCAGCCCAGGCAAATGTGTGAAATCACTTGGACTCAGCAGGACAGTGTCCAGGGTGCTAGGCAGGGTAGTAAATGCAGTCAGGCCTGCCCTTGGGAGCTCAGCTGCCTGGGGTGGAATCCCAGCTCTGTCTCTTGCCAGCTGGGTCATGTAGTGGCCTTTGACTTAGTTTCCCCATATGTAAAATGGGAGTTATAATCAGGCCTTCTTTAGAGTGTTGCTGTGCAGATTCACCTGGGGCGGGGGGGCAGCTGCAGAAAGCACCATGTGCCAGCTTTTCCTGGGGTGAGCTCCTCTGCGCCTGACTGCCCTGACCTTGGCCATGTGCACTACTCCGAGCCAGAAGGGCCTCTCAGAGAACCCTGACAGCGCGCCAGCACTGGGGCACCTCCTTTTTGGGAGGGCAGGGCGTTGGGATTGGGCTCTGTCTTTTATGCTAAATGATGATATGTTTCAAACATACAGAAAAGTGTAACCCGTCCATGCCCACTACTCAGTTTCAATGCAGAGCGACGTTTGCTTTTGTTTTTTAAACAGGAAATAAACATTTGATATGGCCGGAACGCCCTCCCTTGCCGTCACCCCGTTCTCCTTCAGAACTCATTCCCCTCTCGCTCCCCGCATGAGACACTCTTTTGAGGTTGATTGCCACCTTTCCTATAGATGTTTTCTTAAAAAATTTATTTATTACACTTTAAGTTCTGGGGAGCGTGTGCAGACTGCTGGCTTGTTACACAGGTATACACGTGCCGTGGTGGTGGTTTGCTGCCTCCATTGCTTGTCATTGCTGTCGATGTTTTTATGTATTTACTGTGGATATCCATAAACACATCTGATTATTTATGTGCTTTTTCTCTCACATCAGTTTGCACATATCCTCTTGCTTTTTCCACTCCACATAATACTCTTTTATTGAGGTAACATTCACACAACATAGAATTAACCATTCTAAAGCATATGCTTGAGAGGCATCCAGTGCATTCACAACGCTGTGTGACCACGGCCTCTATCTAGTTCTGAAAGATTTCTGGCACCCCCAAAGGAGACGTCCTGCAATTAAGCAGCACACTGGCCCCCCGACCACCTATCCCCTTCAGACAACCACCTATCTGCTTTCTGTCTCTGTGGATTTCTCTCTGCTGGAAATTTCATATCAATGGAGTCATACAATAGCCACGTGATACCTTCGAGCCTCACCCAGGTTGGGATGTGTTGATCCAGCTCCTTCATCCTAGCTACTGTGAGAAGTCCACTGCTCTGTAGATCATAGGTGAACACCTATGCCCACCCCCCTTGCAGGTCATTCCAGGGCCTTGCCAGTGGGGGGGCTTCTCCTTGTGCTTCTGGGGAAGGTCCCTGGTCCAGATTCTTTGCTTTCAAACTGCCCAGAACTCAGTGGCTTAAAGCAACGTGTTATTATTTCTCCTGCTTTTGTGGCTTAACTGGGCTCAGTGGACTGTTCTGCTGGTGTCACTCACAGTCAGATGGTGGCTAGAGTGGGATGCTCAGGATGACACTGGGATGGCTGGGCCTCTCACCCTCTCCCCGTGGCCATTCCAGCAGAGTAGCTGGCCCATTCATGGGGGCTCTGGGCCCCAGAAGTATAAAAGCAGAAACTGCCAGGCCTCCTTGTGGCCTGGACCCAGACACCCGGGCTGTGCCTTCCTCTGGTTAAAGCAAATCACAAGCTCACCCAGCACCAATGTGGGAGGGGCCCACCCACGCGTGGCTACTGGGGGCCATCCCTGAGGACCAGCCCTCACACTGGGATACGGGGCTCAGAGGAGCTTCGCCAAGTCCTGGGTGTGGACGCTTCCAGTGTCCTGGCATGCTGTTAGGCTGTTCTCTCAGGCGAGTCTCCCAAGTGAGGCTGTCCTGCACCCCAGCTTCTCCATGTCTTGGACTCTTCAGTTTCCGCTGTTGGGTGTGGAATGTTTGCCATTGTCATTTTTGTTTCTCTGTGATTCTTAGTGAAGGTGTATGAGTTTCCTGTTGCTGCTGAGACAAATCAGTACAACGTAGTGGCTTAAAGCAGCATGGGTGCTGTCAGTTCTGGAGGCCAGAGGTCTGACATGGGTCTCATGGGGCTAAGTCAAGGTGTCAGCAGGGCTGCACCCTCCTGAAGACTTTAGGAAAGAATCTGTTTCTTCTCCGCTCCCAGCTTCTCGAACGCCTTCTTTCCTTGGCTCATGCCTCCTTCCTCCGTCTTCAAAGCCAGCAGTGCAGTGTTTTAAAATCTCTGTCCTCTGCCATTGAGACTTCTGTGGTGACCCTCAGCCCACCCAGGTCATCAGGGATCCTTGCCGCATCTCAAAGTCCACTTCATCACATTGGCGAAGTCCCTTTTGCGATATGCAGTAACACATGAATAGCTTCTGGGGAAGAGGACGGGACATCTTTGCTGAGTGTGGAAGGCAGGTGGCCCCCTTTTGCGATACGAGGTAACGCATTAATAGGTTCTGCGGAAGAGGACAGGACATCTTTGCTGAGTGTGGAAGGCAGGTGGCCCCCTTTTGCGATACGAGGTAACGCATTAATAGGTTCTGCGGAAGAGGACAGGACATCTTTGCTGAGTGCGGAAGGCAGGTGGCCCCCTTTTGCCATACGTGGGGGCATTAATAGGTTCTGGGGAAGAGGACGGGACAGCTTTGCTGAGTGTGGAAGGCAGGTGGCCCCCTTTTGCCATACACGGTAACACATTAATAGGTTCTGGGGAAGAGGATGGGACATCTTTGCTGAGTGTGGAAGGAAGGTGGCCCCCTTTTGCCATATGCGGTAACACATTAATAGCTTCTGGGGAAGAGGACGGGACATCTTTGCTGATTGTGGAAGGCAGGTGGCCCCCTTTTGCCATACGCGGTAACACATTAATAGCTTCTGGGGAAGAGGACGGGACATCTTTGCTGATTGTGGAAGGCAGGTGGCCCCCTTTTGCCATACGCAGTAACACATTAATAGCTTCTGGGGAAGAGGACGGGACATCTTTGCTGATTGCGGAAGGCAGGTGGCCCCCTTTTGCCATACGCAGTAACACATTAATAGGTTCTGGGGAAGAGGATGGGACATCTTTGCTGAGTGTGGAAGGCAGGTGGCCCCCTTTTGCCATATGCGGTAGCACATTAATAGCTTCTGGGGAAGAGGATGGGACATCTTTGCTGAGTGTGGAAGGAAGGCGGCCCCCTTTTGCGATATGCGGTAACACATTAATAGCTTCTGGGGAAGAGGACAGGACATCTTTGCTGAGTGCGGAAGGCAGGTGGCCCCCTTTTGTCATACGCGGGGGCATTAATAGGTTCTGGGGAAGAGGACGGGACATCTTTACTGAGTGCAGAAGGCAGGTGGCCCGTTTGCGGGTCACTCCGTTTTCCACCTTGGGTAATTTCGCTCTGTCTGTCTTTCTACTGTGTGGAAGGCATTCCCTGTGTGCGGACATCCCTGGTATCCCGGGGGATTGACTCCGGGCCTCCCACAGATACTGACATCCACAGATGTTCAAGTCCCTGGTCTAAAGGGGCATGATATCTGCTATGACCTCTGCACATCCCTCCTAGGCTTTTAACCCTCTCTAGATTGTAATAGACAACACAGTGTAAATGCTGTGTGAGTAGTCGTTAAATATTAGGCAATGGCATCTCACTCTGTTCCCCAGGCTGGAGTGCAGTGGGGTGATCCTGGCTCACTGCAACCTCCGCCTCCTTGGCTCAAGCATTCTCCTGCCTCAGCCTCCCAAGTAGCTGGGACTACAGGCGCCTGCCACCACGCCTGGCTAATTTTTGTATTTTTAGTAGATACGGGGTTTCACCACGTTGGCCAGGCTGGTCTTGAACTCCCGACCTTAGGTGTTCTGCCTGCCTCAGCCTCCCAAAGTGCTGGGATTACAGGTGTGAGCCACTGCACCCGGCCTATTATTATTATTTATTAAAAATGTATTTTTGATTCTCAGCCGACTGACCCTGAGGATGCAGAACTATCTGGATACAAGGGGCCAGCTGCATATCCTTCCGTGGCTTATGTGTGCCGGGAATATGCTTCCAGTGGTGGCCTTATCCTTTTCTAACAAACAGGGAAACCACCGGCACCCTCAGATAGAGTATTTGAGGAGAGTTCAACAAGGGACTAATGGCAAAGGTTCAGAGAAACCAACAGGGCTGCTGCAGATCCCCGGCAGGCACCTGGCCACAGCGCTGCCATCCCCAGGTCTGGAGGGAGACCGAGCGGCGTGCAGAAAGCTCTCCAGCTGGTCTTAGGCACGCCCACATGATGCTGTCGGAGGCACCTGGGACTAAGATTCCTCACCTTGCCCTTCTCAGCCTCGCAGCCTCCTGCCTGGGCTCCTGCTGGCCATGTCCCAAGCCCTCCCACGGGGCCCATGGAAGAGAGCTGCGGCTGGAGAGTCCATACGGCCACCTGCCTCCCAGGCTAGAGAGCAGGCTGCAGAGGTGACCACGGGCCTGCAGGGACAGGGTAAATACCAGTGCCTGTCCCAGCTTTGTGATAGCATCTTCTGTTGCAGAGAAAATGTCAATTAGGTCATATAGCAATATTTCCTTTGGGAGTGCTTTTTTTCTGTTTTAAATAGGAAAATTTTCCCTATCCTAAAATTGTGTAAGACCATGAATATATTATTTTTAAAAATTGTATATGCACATACAATTTTTTATATGCATACACAATTTATTATATATGTGTACATATATATATATATATATATATATATATATATATATATATATATACTTATCAATTGTGGTAAATTGAGAATCCCCAGAACTGTCTTCATCTTACGGAACTGAAACTCCACACCCATTAAACCACTGTCCTCTCTCCCTTCTCTCTCTGCCCCCACCCGTAGCAACCACCATTCTACCTTCTGTTCCTGTGAATTGGACTACCCTAAGTACCTCATATAAGTAGAATCATACTGTATTTGTCCTTTTGTGTCTGGTTAATTTCACTCAGCATAACATCTTCAAGAGTCATCTACGTTGTAGTCTGTGTCAGGATTTTCTTCCTTTTCATGGCTTAATAATATTCCACTGTATGGATAGACCACATTTTGTTTATCCACTCACCAGTCAATGGACACTTGGGTTGTGTGCTAGGCCGTTCTTGCATTGCTATGAAGAAATACCTGAGACTAGGTAATTTATAAGAAAAAAGGTTTAATTGGCTCCTGGTTCTTCAGGCTGTACAGAAAGCATAGTGCCAGGATCTGTTTCTGGGGAGGCCTCAGAAAGCTTTTACTCGTGGGTGGAGGTGAACCAGCAGCAAGCATTTCACATAGCGAAAGCAGGAGCAGGAGAGTGAGGGGTGGGGGATGCCACATTTTGTAACAACCAGATCTCATGAGAACTCACCCCCTATCGCAAGGGTATCACCCAACCATGAAGGATCCAGCCCATGACCCAAACTCCTCCCACCAGCCCCCACCTCCAGCATTGGGATCACAGTTCATCATGAGATTTGGGCAGGACACTCAAACCGTATCTGTTCGCTCCCACATTAAGCTACTGTGAACAATGCTGCTCTGAGCGTGAGTGTACACATCTCTCTTCAAAACCCTGCTTTCAATTCTCTTGGGTATATACCCAGAAGTAGAATTGCTGGATCATATGGTAATTCTACTTTTAGTTTTCTGAGGAGCCTCCATACTGTTTTCTATGGCACCATTTTAATTCTTACCAGACAGTGCACAGGGTTTCGGTTTCTCCACATCCTCCCCAACACTTGTCCTCTGCCTCTGTGAGGACCGTAGTAGCCTCTCAAGGGGTGTGAGGTGGTATCTTGCTGCAGCTTGCAGATATTCTTCTATGTATTTTTCCAGGAGTTAGAGCAGTTTGTGTTCATATTCAGGTCTTCATCCACCGGCTACTTATTTCTGAGGATTGCGTGGGATTCCTCCACTGTGTTTCTCTCCTCACTGGTCCCAGCGAGATTTATGGAGCAGCCCTCCATTCCCACTGATGGCAGACAGCCCCACCCCCCATTGCACACTGTGCTCCCACATGCTGACGAGCCTCTCTGTGGGCTCGGCTCTGTCCTGTGGTCTCCCTGTCTATCCTGTGTGGTGCTGGGCCCCCTCATTCTGACTCTAAGCCTCTCTGTTCCCTTATGCTGGACTTGGCAGAATGTTTTTTCCAAATGTGGAAGCCACTGTCTGTCCTGTTCCTCATGCTCTTCCACAGTGTGACCGTGGCACTCCTTCTATCAAATGGGCGTCCATGTCCCCTCCCTGGAGCCAGGCAGATCCCTCTGACTGCCCGGACAAATGGAATTTTCCAAAATGACGCTCTAACTTCTGAGGCTTAGTCGTCACAATGTCACTCATGGACTGTCTTGGGTTGCTCACACAGAGGGCAAGCTGACCTGTGGGCAGGAAGCCAGGTCACCTGGAGAGATGCCATGTGGGTATTCCAGCTTCAGGCCTAGGGAGTTCCCAGCTGACAGCTGGCCACAGCCACCAGAAATGTGAAGCCCTCCAGATGACACCAGCCCAGCAGCCATCCAACTGCAACTTCGAGAGAAAGCTCAGGCAAGAACCGCCCAGCAGAGCCCTGTCAGCCTCCAGAAGATAACAAGTGCTATTGTTTTCAGCCACTATGTTTCGGGGTGATCCATTGCATGTGAATAGGTAACAAAAGCACTGACCTTATCTTTCTTCATAGCACTTTTAAACTATTTGATGTTGATTTATTATTACTGCCCAAAGCTTATCTGTTTATTATTGTTCTCCCCTAAGCTGAGTGTGAGCTCCATTTGGGTGGGACTTTGCTGGTTCTGTTTCCTGTGGGGCAGGAATCATGACTGGCTCATTTTAGGCCTTGATTAAATATTTGTCAAAAGAAGGAATGGGTGCATAATTTCTCTCCAGTTGTTTCCTCTCCAAAATTTCTCCAGTCTACACTTGGTCCTGCTCTTCCCTGTGAATGCTGGGATACACTTGTAAACAACCCTCTTGGGATTTTGTGTGGAATTGCATTGGATTTAGAGATAAATCTGGGAAGACCAACAGTATGCAAGCTCCTGCAATCAGGGGAACTTTTAAGTGGACTCTTCTCTGGGGCTTCAGTGTATTCCACACAAGAACAGTGCTTTGTGGTTTCTGGTTCTGCATTGCCCTTAGAGGAGGACGGGTCCCCAGACCACAGCCATCTGGCTGTGAAGGTTGGGGTGCAGTCACAGGCAGGGATGGTTAGAGAGGGCTCAAGTGCTTTCTCTAGGGAAGGTGCTAGGGGGGCTGGGACCTGCAGTACACATGGAGCAGGAGCCTGGCACTGCCCTCACTGCTGTGGATATGGAGACAGAGCCTGGCGCTGGCCTCACTGCTGTGGATATGGAGACAGAGCCTGGCGCTGGCCTCACTGCTGTGGATATGGAGACAGAGCCCGGCGCTGGCCTCACTGCTGTGGATATGGAGACAGAGCCTGGCGCTGGCCTCACTGCTGTGGATATGGAGACAGAGCCTGGCGCTGCCCTCACTGCTGTGGATATGGAGACAGAGCCTGGCGCTGCCCTCACTGCTGTGGATATGGAGACAGAGCCTGGCGCTGGCCTCACTGCTGTGGATATGGAGACAGAGCCTGGCGCTGCCCTCACTGCTGTGGATATGGAGACAGAGCCTGGCGCTGCCCTCACTGCTGTGGATATGGAGACAGAGCCTGGCGCTGGCCTCACTGCTGTGGATATGGAGACAGAGCCTGGCGCTGCCCTCACTGCTGTGGATATGGAGACAGAGCCTGGCGCTGGCCTCACTGCTGTGGATATGGAGACAGAGCCTGGCGCTGGCCTCACTGCTGTGGATATGGAGACAGAGCCTGGCACTGCCCTCACTGCTGTGGATATGGAGACAGAGCCTGGCGCTGGCCTCACTGCTGTGCAGGTGGAGCAGGAGCCTGGCGCTGCCCTCACTGCCGTGCACGTGGAGCAGGAGCCTGGCGCTGCCCTCACTGCCGTGCACGTGGAGCAGGAGTCTGATGCTGCCCTTACTGCTCTGTTTGGCAGCCCGAGCTCTGCCCAGAGCAGCGTGATTGGGCCCAGCAATAAGTGGGGGAGGAAGTTCAGGCCAGAGAACACAGGGCTGTGACCAGGATTGAGCTAGAATCCAGCATCTTCCTTCAGGTGATTAGGCCATGATGATGTAACAGCAGCCTCTCAGCACAGATACCCTCCCTCTGGCCCCTCTTCTTACCTGCATGGCACTTTCCCATCTCTCCCCAGGGCCTTTAAGGTAACAGGTCAACTCCATACAGTGTCTTCCAGCCTCACCTTTTGTCTTCACCCTCTTCCTCCCTGGCCTCGTGGGCTTCACTGCCATTGCCCATACCTGCTAGGATGCTCCTCACTGCCAAGGCTTCATACATGTCATTTCTTCCTGCCTGCGGTTCTTCTCCCAATTTTTCTTCGTGATTCATCACCTCCAGGAAGCCCTCCCTGACCTCCCTCCTTGGTGTTTCCACCTCCCAGGCTTTCTGTGCTGTTGATTTCTGTTTCTCCAGCTATCCTGACTGCTCTGTTAGGATGGCACTGGGGACAGGGAAAGGCCTGGTGGGCATCAGGGACTCAGCAAGGCTATAGAGAGTGATGACATTATATGTATACTTGTCATACATGCTCACACGTGCACAGACATGTACATGTTAGACATTACACATCCTCACATGTGAACACATGCAGACACACATGCACAAAAGCATACACACATGCGCAGACACTTGCACATTACACACATGAACACAGATAACACACATGTCACACACAGGCACGTACCTGCATTGCATCTTTGACTGAATGACCTGTTTTGCCATTTCTTGGCCTTTGCACACACAGCTACCTCTCCCTGGTACCTTCTTCTGCCCAGCCCTGGCCGTGACCTACCTGAGCACGGGTGCACTGTGGTGGCGAGCGTCCACAGCTGCCTTTATGGTGCCCAGCCCAGGGACAAGCAAACATCTGCCCATTTCTCCACCACCCTCAGCCCCTGGCAACTACCCTTCTGCCCTCTGCTTCGATGAGCTCACCTGTTTTAGATTCCACACAGAAGCGAGGTTGTGGAGTATTTGTCTTCCTGCGTCTGGTTTAATTCACTTAACATGATGTCTTCTAGGTTCGTCCATGCTTTCAAAAATGACAGGATTTCATTTTTTTATGGCGGAATAATCTTCCATTACATGCAAGCATCATGTTTTCTTTATCCATGTGTTCAGTGACGGAGGCGCAGGTTGGTCCTCTATCTTGGCTGTTGCGAATAGTGCTGCGGTGAACTGGAGCGCAAAGCTGTTTGTGGAGTACTGGATTCATCCCTTTGGATATACACCTGGAAGTGGAATTGCTGGATTACAAGCTAGTTCAATGTTCAGTTTTTCGAGGAACCTCTGTACTCTTTTCTATGTCGGCTGCACCAGTTTACATTCCCACCAACAGTGTTGCAAGGGTGATCTTCTCTCCATATTCTGACCGATACCTGTCATCTCTTTTCGTGTTTGACATCCGTGATGACAGGTGTGAGGGGACAGCTCATTGTGGTTTCAATTTGCATTTTCCTGAGGATGACTGATGCTGGGCATTTTTTTCACATAAGCTCGTCCCTCTGCACTCAGGGGATTGGCTCCAGGAGTTGTGGGTTTACAAAATCTGAGCGTACTGATGTTCCTCAGTTGGCCTC